AAAATAAATGACATAATTGTAAATGTATCTAAACAATATTTTGCAAATCAAATGAAATTCTCTTGTCACTTTGGATGCCTTTGTATATTAATCTTTGATCAAAAAAGACAACTACTCTTTGAACTATAACTTCAATTTAGAGATAATAAACTAATGGCAAGAGACAAATTTATTAATTTGACATTGAAAAGCTATAAAAAAAAAGATCTGGATATTTTGATTTCAATTATGCAATCATGTAGCAAGGGGTCGACAGAAAACGTCTATGAAAGGACAGAAACTGTCCATGAAAGGATAGGAAATGCATGTGTTTTAATAAGTTGTAGTTATGCTTAAACTATACTCTTCTGTATTCTGAGTCTTTGTCTCTAAACAACTAGGAAACTAAGCTGAAATTCTATGTATTTTCAAATCAAGTTTTATTGATAACAAATAATTGTCAATATGTTTTCAATAGTACAATTCTCAGCACAATTACAGAAGCTGTTTGGCATTAATTTCACCTTTTTTAAAATCTTCTCAAATTAAGAAAAGATCTTTTTGAATTTGAGTAGAAATCTTCCTCTGAAGTCTAATTATTTTTCTTTCACTTAACAACTTTTTGTAGAGATTGATCAGGTCTGCCTCCCTCTTCAGTTCATCTATAACTAAATAGAGAGAAACATTTTCTCCAACAATTTTATTAAGCCTCGGATGATAACCTTCCAGATCATTATTTGTTCTGATACTCAAAAACGAACCAAGTCTCTAGAGGCCAAAATGAATTGTTTATCCATGTATTGGACACATACTTCAACAAATGCTTTCAACATCAAAATTTCTGTTCAACACAAACTTCTGCTATATCAAATAAAGATCCAAGTGCAAAATTTATATTTTGACAATTGCAACTAACTGAATTGTACACTGCCATCTAGCGGCTGTTTATGTATAACTTTTGGACATTTGTAAGTTAGTTTATATACAAAAAATAAATGGATTTTGGCATAAAATGCTGAGTCTTTGTGTTGAAGATTAATCTTTTTATATAGTTGAGGAAGTGATGTATTAATGATCTATTGTGAATATTCATTGTTTTATTTAAATGCGCAACAATCAACTTTTATATTTGAATTGTAAACTTTACAAGTAGACTATATGCAGATGAGTTTACATTTAAAGGATTAATAAAGCAATAGTTACCCAAGAATTTACAATTTCTGCTGATTTTTATCATACAAAAGACATAAAGAATATGCAAACAAAACAGTTGCTTAGCAACACTATTCTTGCAATTACCATTTAAAAAAAGAACACCACCAATTAAATTTTACTTTTAGAATACAACAAAACTAACAAGATTCTCTTGTGATTTATTGTTGTCTAAAGGCATTTTGTATGTATGTTTCACTTTTAAATTCAAATTTGTAACTTATTTCTTGTTAAAAATGAAAAATAAAGGAGAAGTTTTAATATAATGTCCATATTTCTTACTTGTTTTTGTTCTAGCTTTTAATAAATGACAGTGAAAATGAATCAATCATAGTGAACTTTACTCAAGAATTCTTTCATTGCCTTTTGTACTGAGAGAGGGGAACATGAGTAATGAATTTTTGAAAATAAAAGCTTTTGTATTTCATACAAATCAAGATATTGTCATTATGGGGTAAGTTTGATATTTTCAATACAGAATCTTTATAATTCATTGTGTTTTATTTCTGAAGGAACTTCAAAGTAAGAGTTGAACAAGGGATCAACAGAAAACGGCCCCAAGAAGGA